CCTTATGACACCCTTTTAGATACCTGAAGTGTCCCTATGGGAGTTTATACTGGTATAACTATCGGTTTAAATTCACAGCTTAGGTTATACCAAAAGGCCCTTCTCCACGTTGTCAAGATCTCAGATACCAGACTTCTAAGTGGAGTAGTGTCCCTCAAAATATGGTTTCCATAATTGCCAACATGTCAAAAATAACCTGAGGTTTTGAGGCCCATCACCTGATTTGTATGCTTAATTATGGTGATTACACACGCTATTGTAGATAACTGCACACATTCATGGGTGTCTCTTGAAAAAATACAAAGTAATCTAAAATTGTAAATATGAAGTTTCCTATCCAAAAACAGTGCTGCCACAATGATTTAATTAGCTTCTCCTGGAAAAAAAGCATTCTTGCAAGATTTCTGTTCTACAATCTTGTACTCTAGATCTAGAGAGTTTGATGAAATCAAGATGGCAGTGCATTGAATATTCTAGGACCTTTGTTGAATGACTCATATTCGTATAAAGGGTCCAGGCCTGAAGTCCATATTCAGTAGGACTCCAAAACTAAAACTGCAGGATGTATGAGCTTGAATTTTCTGGGACAATCTATCACTTCCTGCATTTAAATCCACTGTGTAACAATGAGTACTACGGCCAATATCTAACTGCCCAAGGCCTCTGTCTCACTCTATACTGCATGTAACTTGCTCAGCTATATTTTTATAATGCGTAGGTATCCTCCAATGATTTTTTTAAGTCTCCCCTGATATGTGTACAATTAAACATGTTGCTGTTTCAACAGGTACTGCCATGGCTGCAGGGGTCTTGCTGCAAAATGAATTGCCTTATTGTTCATTGGTAAAGAGCAGTGCATATCTTGCAACTATGAGTTCAGGTAATCATTTTCTTTAATATGCCCTTTAAAAGAAAGTTTTTAGATGAGTTTTTTTAAAAGGAATCATCTCTAAAAAATAAAAGCCATATACATCTGTTATGGCTAGGTTGTGGGGATAATGTGTGTGTATATGCAGTACAAATAATTCAGTGTGTTACTCAAACATGACTATGACCAGTAACCACCTTGACATGTTTCTCTTCCATTTCGCTTTCTGTTTCTGTTAGGTTATAAATTCTTATGGACAAGGACTGTGCCATCTTTTGTATTTGGGAAGTGCTTAGACATTGTGAGGTGCCACAAAAAAACAAATAAGTAAATAGTAACAATTTTTACAGGCAATAATTATGATTCACCACTTTGGCTGAATACCTCCAAATGGCACTGAAGTCAATGAGAGAATAATGACATTCAGCATTTTGCCTCCTTCAGTCTCACCAACTGCTGGCTGCACTATAACTTTTTTGAATTTGACATATATAGAAGAAAAATGTTACTGACTTATGAAGATCCATACAGAATTACATCTAAGGAGGCAAAATAACTGATGAGCAAAAGTTTGGTATAATCAATGGATGTAGCCAGCATTTGAACCATCTCTAAAAAAAATATCCCCTTAATCACAAATGATACTTAAACCTCAGCACCCAAGAATTATCCAAACAAAAATAACTCCTAAAATTCCAAACATTAAGACAATTGTAAGGCCTTGGAAACAGATTCAGAAGTAAAACTAAAAAAGCCTATAATTACCCCATAACAGACACCCCAAAAACTTGCCTTAGCAGTCCTTCGGGTCTAGACATCCACTTAATTCAAAGTGCTAGTTTTTCTTTTTTGAAATTGATAGTAACATGCCAGGTTTAAAAAATGGGTTCGTAGATAGCAGTAGCCCAGTGGGATGAGGGGAATGCTATTTTGTAATCCTCAATTAGCATGTGATTGGTTGAGGAAGGCATGGCTTGGTAGCAGACACTCATGGGTAACAGCCATGGAGCAGGCTTTAATACTTTCTCTCCCTCCTGACATCAGCATTAGGGTTGGAACAGGGTAGCAAAGGCTCTTGGGCAACAGCAGCACCCAAGGGACTAGATTTTAGATGTTCCTCTTCCCTCCTGCCATCACTGGCAAGTGGTAGGGCTGGGAGCAGCATGAAACCTCTCTTGTGCCCTTAGTAGCCAAGTGGTACATCTGTTCAAAATCTAATAACATCCTTCCTGTCTGCACCTAGAAGAAAGAGATTATTGCCTGAGGTTTTTAAACTGGAAAAAAACACTTTTTACTTACCCGGTTTTGTCATGCAAGTTCCACTTCAAGAGGTATCGACTTCCCTTGGTGTATGTACGCAAGTCCCAATGACATCAGATGGTAATCGCATGCCCAGATTGAGATTAGAACATGGCCCTAAGAGTGGGCAACAGGAGTAACATGCTTATTGGGTCAGGTTATACTGATTTTTCTTCTATCTTTTTCTTTTCTCTACCCTGCTTGTCAAGATCTATAAATTGCACTCTAACAGAGAACTGACAAGATGACTATTATTTTAAATGTTTTTTACAGTCCTTACCCCTGCAAGTGACGGTTTGGCCCTGTGATTTTGAGAGTGCTGAAATCTTTCTGGCCAGCTCAATCTCCATCTTTAGCATGGAAGCAAAGAGGGAGGCAGCTCATAGCCTGATACCTATCGCTTGAAACTTGGAGCAATCAAATTATATGGCTACTTCTCCCAATAGTCTGCTTTACCTCAACCCAGTAGATCCAAGAGCTTTGGTTAATAAAAACCTCTGCTCTGAAAAAATAAACCTTTTGTTTTCAATAACAAATTGTGTTTTGTTTGTGGATATGAATGGTCCATGAGTGAGCAGTCTGCAATTCATCAGTGAACAATTTCAATAGCAACACACTAATCCCAATCATTACAGAACTAACAATGCATTTTGGAGCAGCTAAGTGGAGGGCAAAAGATGGCAATGGACTGTCAAACTAATCAGTGGGGGAGTATAGCGTATTTACTTACAGATTTATAGAAAAGCAGTGCCCCAAACTACATTTTGATTGTATTTTGGTATATAATATACTGTGCAGTATGTTCTGAATGTACAATAAGTGCAATTTACTAAAATACTCATTTTGTTTCGGAAAATCATCCCAGTCCAGTTGCAGAATTACCTACTTGAAATGCAACTATTCTCATCAGCAGTGGAACAGTTTGTCCCAAGCAGAATCAATTCATATAGAATTTAGCTGCCACAAGGGTAGCTGGCATCAGTGGCTTCATTGTTTGTTACTATGGAGACTGCTCAGCCTATCCTGAATAGCTGTTAGATCACACAGAAAGATACACATCTCTGTGTAACTTCAGCATTGAGCAAGTTGGATTTCAGATCCAGTTTGTTTTCTACGACATTTGTAAAGTGTTGCAAAGGGGTGATTGATCATGGAGGCTTCACCCAGGAGGCGCTCAGCTGTGAATATTTTTAGCAACTTTTTTCAGGGTCGGAGGCATTCTTCCTCTGATCCCTTTCTCCGCATACTTCAAAGGCGCCGGAGCTCAGTTGTAGAAGTCCTCTCATCATCCACACACCGTGTTATGGTGGCCATATCATCTGTAAGCCCTGCAGAGCTGAATGCAACTTTTCCTGAGAAAAAAAGTGAAGTATTTTTAGATTATTGCCAAAAAACATACTTGGGTTTTATAGCTATGTATTATACAACGTGTACTAAAGGTGTATAATCTTATTCAGATGTTTAGATGTATATAAATATGTATGAAATGTTTAAAATAATTTTATAGTGGTTATTGTTTTATTATATATAATTGTATTTACTGATATCTTACTCAGGGCTTAATCTGTGCTTTATTTTTAACTTGTAGAGCATTTCAGTTTAAAACCTTGGTTTCAGAAAATAATTAAAGCAAAAGATAGCTTAATATGTGTTTGTGCAGGCATGCTGTACATTTCTAGATAAAAGGTGACCGTGATATTTGCTTCATCATGGAGGATATCACATACCTAGAATTTCATGAAGAAGGAAACTAAGTTGATGTCATGAATAACAGCACTAATATAAGCTTCAGCGCTAATATAAGCAAAGAATGGTATTTTTATTGTGAATCCTTGCTGCTTAAATCTCTTGAAAAATCTTTAATATACTATATTTTTGTAATTTAAACATTTAAAAGTTTGCTGTATTATATTTTAGGGTAGTGATGATAGTTTGCTAATCTTATGTATTCTGTTTTTCTTTCTGTTGTAGGAAATTCAAGGCGTCCAACCGCAAAATATACTAAAGTAGGGGAACGTCTTCGCCATGTCATTCCTGGTCATATGCAGTGTTCGATGGCATGTGGTGGACGTGCTTGCAAGTATGAAAACCCAGCTCGATGGAGTGACCAAGAGCAAGCCATTAAAGGACTTTACTCTTCCTGGTAATATGCAGTACTCCGTTTCACTAAGCTTAATTGTATTAGCTCCATTAGAGAATTTAGGGTAATAGATTTATATTGCATTTTTCTACCAAATATAGACTGCCAAGTTAAGTACAGTATGTACTGGAATAAAAGGTTAGTTAAAAATTAATACTTAGCAGTAAGCCATAAAGGGCTCCATACAAAGCCCATCAAAGTCAATGAAAGACACACATTGTCTTCAGTGGGCTTTGGCTCAGATCCAAAATAATAAATACCTGTTTACAGATTACATGAATGTTCTAAACTACAGAAGTTTTCCCTTGAAATTTAAATACAGCTGTTAAAATATGCTCATTGGTTTAGATTAAAATGAATGAAAACATTTTATTGAAGATAAAATAATATTCTATCAATAATAATATTGAAAGCATTTTTTCCATCTATATGGTCACTGGAATGTATTTTTAAATTAATATTGACATTTTGTAAAAATGAGTTAAGAAGAAACATGTAAAATGTCTCTGAATAGGAATACAGAAATTGTGATCTGGGTAGCCATTGTCTACTTAAGTTTTGTATCATGCTCATCACCATGGTATTTGAGCACCTCTCATAATGGTATTTTGTTATATAACTTAATTGTTTCAGTGGGATTTATAAAGCATGTAATCTGATGAAAGAATTTTCCAAAAAGGTATAAATGCACATTGCTAATTATAGATAGCTCCTGAAAATGGAAAAAAGGTATATATTTTGGTAGATTACCCATGAAATCATCACAATGAAATATCCATCCAAAGTATTAATTTATTTTTTCAGGATAACAGATAATATATTGGCCATGGCTCGACCCTCAACAGAAATTATTGAGAAGTATAACATTATTGAGCAGTTTCAAAGGTAATGAATTTTATTGGTAATGAATTGCTCTAGATTTTACCGATATAATCCCTGATCCATTTTTTCCCTCCTACTTAGATTTGGATTGTTGGTAAAGATCCTTTAATTTAGCAATATGCAGGTAAGCATCCATTCTGCACTTAGGAGAAATGTATGTTTTAGAAAATAAGGGTTAATGAAATTATTGCTGTATATAATGTGACTATTCTGTTCCTTGCTTAAGGTGTGACATAAAAACAGTAATTAACCTTCAGCGTCCTGGGGAGCATGCTAGCTGTGGGAATCCGCTGGAACAAGAAAGTGGCTTTACCTACCTTCCTGAAGCTTTCATGGAGGATGGAAGTAAGTTCACTCCTGCTGCTTTTCCTCATTAATTATCGAGTACAGTACATGCAGATTTTCTGTCACACAGCTTTTGGATTAAGAGCAGTTATATAAGGAATACTATTCACAAAATATAAAAAATTAAATTTATCAAAGTCCAACCTTGGATAATACATTGCTCCCTCTCTCGTGTTACTGTTGAGTGAGGTATGTGGTTGGTGTGTTACATTTCAGTAGAATGAGCAGCTAGAGTAGATAGAAGACTATGCCTGGTAAAAAGATAAATGGGAAATGAGCAAAATAATATAGAGCATATTAACTGTGTTTCAGACATGTTTGTGAGTAATGTTGCACTTTTCAAAATGTCTGTTTCTTTGATTTGAAGAGCTTTGTATCAGCAATATCTTTATTTTTTCATACTGCACTGAGTGTATCTGCTTAAGAAAGTTAAGAGCCATTGAATTAAGATTTGCTTTTATGCCCAAACAGAATGTTACACTTTTCCTATATATAGCTCAGTAATTTTAGTATGAATCACTCCGTTTTGTTATACCTTTTCCATTCCAGCTGAGCTTTAGTCTGAAACATCTTAACTACCTCAGCATGTCCATGAAATTCTCACAGCAAGCTCTTTCTGAAATGTGAAAATAATCTGTTTCAAACAAATATATATAGTCAGGCCTATTCGGATTATTTTTATTTTTTCAGTACTTTCATTTAAGACTAGTCATTTCTCTTCTGCATATGGAACAAAAGATTTAACATTGTGTACTAAAGAAAACAATTCTCTCTCTCTTTAGTTTATTTTTATAATTTTGGATGGAAGGATTATGGCGTGGCATCTCTCACTACTATACTGGATATGGTAAAAGTGATGGCTTTTGCCTTGCAGGAAGGGAGGGTAGCTGTTCATTGTCATGCAGGACTTGGCCGAACAGGTATGTGTTCAACTTCAAAAATTAATGTGAACTTATTTTCTGTAGGTACAAAATAATGGCAGATATACAATTTAAACAAACCTATAATGATTTATATTTATCACTCTGAGGAGGTATACTGTAAAGTGATTAAACTTGCAAACAAAATTTATTTGTAAAAAATAAGAGTCATTCTGTCATAGGCAGCAAGAGGACAAAGTTAGCAATTATGAGCTGTGAACCAAAAGGTTAGAGAAACTTTGAATCCACGTAACAATCTCCCAGCAATATTGAAACTGTACAGCCTCCTCACCTAGGCAGCTGCTACTCCACATAATCTCCAATTAAGAAAATAATTCACCTTGTGCTTTTCTGGTCTTGAATAGAGTTATCTGTGGTTACCCTCCCAACTCAGACCTTCGGTCTTTGGAACTTTTTTCTTTTGGGTTTGAGGATGTTAAAGGTTGCACTTACTTCTGACCCCTCCCCAAATATGTCTCTTTGCCTGGCCCCATCTCTGCAGTAGCCACTATTGCTCCCTGTGGGTGTGAGGAGTTTGAAAATGATGCAGCTGTGCTGCAAACACAGTTGAGAGAGAAATTGGCATTTTTTTAAAATGTGGAGGGAGGCTGAGAAAAAACCTTTAAGCACTCGGAGATGGCATTTAACAAAGTTAATACAAGCTAAGGGGAGATTTAATTTCTTATTTAAAAGGGGGGAAAAGCCCTAAACCTTAGTCTTCCATGGAGTAGCCACCTCAATTTCAAATTCTCTTACATCCACAGAATGACCGCAATGGCTGACCTATATCAAAGTAAGGGAAAATGGCTAGGAAGGAGATCAGTGAAACAGCTGCAGGCCTCAAATCCTTGCAGCCAGAAGAAAAGATCTCATTTTGGAGATCTGAGATACAAACAGCTGTATATGCAAGAAATAATAAAATAGGAAGGCTTAGAAAGAAAAAAAAATCCACCTGTGGCTGCCGGAGCCTCTCAGGGAACAGGGAGAGCAAAAAGCTAGGTGCTATGGCTCACCAATCTCCTTTGTAATAATGATGCTTCTACATTTTGAATATATTTTAGATTAATCGGGGGGAGGTGGTTTGAGCATTGGCCTGCTAAACCCAGGGTTGTGAGTTCAATCCTGGAGGGGGCCACTTAGGAATCAGGGGCAAAATCA